AAAGAGGTTCGCCGTAACAAAAATGTCAAAACAAACGGTCAAGTGTGTGTCAATGGGATACGGGGTCAAGTGAAAGTTGAGATAACCCACATGACTCCGGACCGTATGTGATACCTAGCACCCAGGAGAGAAATGATAAACTAGAGGGAAACAAAGTGGCCGACAGTTCACTGGAAAGTGCGTTTTTTTTGTTAATGTTGTGAAACACTTATACACATGTTGGTAAACAAGAGGAAAAGATAGTTGATCCGTCTCAAAGCGAAAATAAAAAGTTCTTACGGTAGTAATTATTTCTCACTTGTGAAAAAAGGCTGTTATGAGTATGTTTTGCGTTGGGAATCGAGTGAACAATTAGACAAATTTTCACAAAGAGATTATAAAAATTTTATTATTCAAAAACTTTTCAAAATTTTACAAACAATTAAGATATACTATTCTAAACATACAATAATACCGTCAATGAAGGTACTATGTTCGGAGCAGTATATCTCAACTGCGTTTAGAGCTATCGAAACGTGTTTAACAAACAAAATGTGCAAAATTACAGATTAAACATTTTAATAGTTGATCACTTTTTGATAGCTCTGACGACAACTGAGATATACTGCTTTAAACATACAGTACAGTATAAACCGTTATTATAGCATTACTGCATGTTCAAAACGGCATATCTCTGTTGTCGTTAGAGCTATCAAAAATCTTCAACTGACAAATTGTGCAAAACTAAAAATTGAACATTTCAGTAGTTGATCACTTTTTGATAGCTCTCAAGACAACATAGTTCTGAGCAATTCTTCATTTTTAAAATTCAACTGCGACAATCCCTTTTGAACTTCCGCCAACTGCTTCTGTAGGTCCTCCTGATGATCCATTTTCTCCAATTCCAATTTCAAAGTTGCCTCTTTTTCCATTTCATCAAGAATCTCCAGTTGTAGTCTGAACTTTTCGCTGGGTGCAAGACCCTTCAGCTCGATGTCCTCGTTTCTCTTGAGCATTACTTGAGCAATTGTGAATTTTCGATTGGATGGGTTACGGATTTTTCTGGAAATTTTTATTTTCAAAAATGCGGAAACTCTACATTAGGCATGGGCGGCGGTGAGCGACGGCCTCACCTCGTTCTGCAGCAAAGTTGATGTCCGCGGCACACGCAACGCAACCGCAGCGCGCTGGAAGTTCGCCGGGAAATTTTTTCTCGATCAGCAAACCGCACCCCTCGCCCATGCCTGTCCTACATGCGCCTTTAACCCAACTCACATCAATTTTGTGGGCCAATCAACTTTCATAATTCCACTACCGTAATTGTGTTCTCCCTGAATTCTAACCGCCGATATCCCATCAAAAATCGCATCGAAATCGACGTTTCCTACAACGCCAATTTCACATTCTTCCATCATTTCTTCATCACAATTTATCCAGTAATGAAGGAAATCATTGACGTCTTTAGGAGTGAAGTTAGTGTGAGTACAGGAAAACTTTTTGGCGTTTCGAATGGATTTGATGTCATCCATTGTGATCCATTTTGCCTGTGGGTAGTTCATAGAACTGAATTTGAAGGCCTGGAAAAAAAGGTCAGTTTTCTTTCCCCAACACCAGAAAATTCGGAATCAGCTCATCAAGACGGTTCAATTAAGCATAATCATGACTGGTTCTGAAAATTTTTGAATTTTTTGGGTCTCGCCACGAAAACCTAAAATCTACCACATCGCAGTCACTTTTGATCTCAGCCTCAGGAAAAGCTACAGTTAGAATCAGCAGTTCAAGCCGGTTCGAATGATTATAAACATGACTGGGTTCGGAAAATTTTCAAAGTTTGGGTCTCAACACGAAAATGCAAAAACTCACTTTCTCATGCCTAAAATCATTCGGAATAAAGCCACCAATGAAAACACTAGCTTCCAATTTTAAGGTGTCCATCAAGTGCTTCAAAACTGTCCTATCCAATTCTTTAACATAATCGAATTCCAATATTTGTATTCCATGATAATCTTCCGACAGCAGCCTTGAAATAAGTTTTTTCATTCCATCCGGATCCTCATGATTGTAAAGAGTGGTGAAAATCAATTGATGTTTCAAATTGAAAATTTCATAAAATCGTATTGCCATCTTGATACATGCCTCGAGAGGATCATCCACTACATGCGGTTCTTTCGGAATCACTCCTTCTATTTTGCATGGAGGAGCAACGTCTTCTTTACACTTGTAAAAAGTTGGAATCGGTGAATGCGGACTTTTGATATTATATATGGAAAGTTGACATTCTTTTTGTGAAATCCAGATTGATACGTAATCAACTTTGATGTTCATGAATTTGATCAAGGCTTCGGTTTGAGGAGTGGCCAGGGATAATTTGTTCCTACAAGAGTTAAGCGGTTAGTTGGGAGCAGGGTTGCGCAAACATTTTTTTTTCGAAATTTTCGAAAATAAATTTTTGCACAACCCTTGGAATCACTTACTGTTCAAGTAGATTCATAGTTTTGACAACTTCCTTCAGTGGGAAATAGGGTAGAGTTAGCAATGGGAAGGTAGCCATTCTTTGTTGGTTGATTGGCAAAATGAAGGAGACGGCACCCGGATGGTTATCCTTGATTTTATCTCCAAGGTCCCAAGGAGGGACTACAAATTATCTTCAAGGCCATCTTTTTATCCGAGGGTCATCAGCAAGAATTACGTTGTTATCAGTGAGAATCAATTCGATGTACCATCTATGTCCAGCCGGGCACTGAGATAACTTTTTTCAAAATCGAAATTTCAAGAATTTGTTCAACTTGGAACTAAAGAATTCGAAATCAGCTCGTCAAGACGGTTCGAATGAGTATAGTCGTGACTAGGTTTTGAAAATTTTTTATTTTTTGGGTCCCGCCACGAAAACCTAAAATCTACCGTATCTTGGTTAATTTTGACGTCAAGCTAAGTGAAAACAAAAATGACAAAACAAACGATCAAGTGAATGCCAGTTGGAAAGGGGGTCAAGTGAAATTTGAGATAACCCACATGACTCCGGACCGTATGTAATACCTAGCACCCGGGAGAGAAATGATAAACTAGAGGGAAATAAAGCGACCGACAGTTCACTGGAGAGTGCGTTTTGTGAAATGTTGTGAAATACTTATAAACATGAAAATAAACGAAAAACATTTTGCAGTGCTGTGGCCTGCCAGGCGGGTCTCACCGCGAAAACCAAAACGATAGGCCAACCTGGTAGAGTATGTTTTTCAACTAAACCGGTGGGAGTCTAGAGGAAAGTTAAGACGAGCTTCTCTATGACAGAACGACCTATCGTATCGGCGCGCGATATTCACGGATTTTAAGTTTCAGAGCTAGATGAAGCAGCCGACGTTTTACGGGCAATGGCGGATTTATGGAGAGGACGATAAGGGCGTCCCTTATTGCTTTTCCGGTTATCCGTGTAGCACATTTTGTTCAGTTATTGTAATTCTGAAGCGAGGGGACTTGGTAGATCAAAAAATTCTCTATTGATTGGTATAAATGCTCTATCGTATTAGCTCGCGATATTCGCCGATTTCGAGTTTCTGAGCAAGATGAAGCAGCCGACGCTTCACGGGCGATGGCGGATTTATTCGACTACGATAAGTTCATCTCTTTTTGTTCTTTTGCGTCTTCCCATCACCCAAATCCGGGTAGCACTCCTCGTTCAGCGTTTCCTCATCAATTCGAGTCCGGTCACAGCAGCGGGTGAAGTTCTAAACCCATTAAAATTAGAGAAAAAATGCAAGGGTAATTAGTAGATCAGAAAATTCTCTATCGATTGATATAAATTTTGCATGAAGCCTTACCTGCAACGGACAATCCTTACTTCCCTGGCACATCGGTACTAGATCTGTCAAATCTTGCAATTTATGATTTTTCTCGGTAACTTCTTCCGGTTTAAAGTAGAATTTGACAAAAGGTTCATCATCCCTCTTCCACAACTCCATCAATATCATAGTGTTGTAGCCAGGCTCCTCGCGGGGCTCCTTGGATTGAATGTGGGTGAGAAGGTTGAATGCCTCCAGGATTCCACTGATAACCCAGTCTTGCTGGAAAACATTTATAGCTGAATTTGTCACCCGGAAACCAGAAAATTCAGAATCAGCTTGTCAAGACGGTTCGAATGAGTATAATCATGAATGGGTTTCGAGAAAAAAAATTCTTTTCGGGTCTCGCCACGAAAATCTAATTTCTACCTATCTTGGTTAGTTTTGGCGCTAGAGACTTGAAAAAGGGCGCATCTTGATCAGCGAAATGAGTCGGTCCAAATGAGTATAATCATGACTAGGTTTTGAAAATTTCTAGATTTTCGGGTCTCGCCACGAAAACTTAAAAATCCACCGTAACTTGGTTAATTTTGGTGCTAGAGCATTGAGAAATGGCGCATTTTAATCAGCAGGACAAGGCGGTTCTGATGAGTATGATCATGACTAGGTTTTGAAAAAAAAAATTTCATGGGTCTCGCCACGAAAACCTAAAATCTACCGTAACTTGGTCAGTTTTGATGCTAGAGATTAGGAAAATGGCGCATTTTGATCAGCAAAAAGAGACGGTTCGAATGAGTATAGTGATGACTAGATTTTGGAAAATTTTCATTTTTTGGTCTTGCCACGAAAACCTAACTTACGGTTGAATAAACCCTAAACTTCACATCCAGTCTGCCCTCCTCATATTGATCCCAAGCAGTTTGCAAATCCGTCAACAACTTATTCATCAGATGACCAAATTTGGTTCGGATCACTCTCATATTTCCAATTCCATTATACAGATTTCGAAGTTTCAAGAACTCCTCACAGATTTCTTTGTAGTTTTCCTCGATTTCTTTGCGATTCTGGAACCCATTTCGGTGCACATTAATGAAGGTGTCCGATTCGGAAGGTTTGATTTTGAGTTGTGAGAAAATGGAGTTATTCGTGCCGATGCAGTCATGGAGGATGTCCATCCTGTGCTGAAAATGAGCAGGTATGAGTGAAATTCATATCCTGGATTTACAAAAAGAAAACAAAAAAAATTGACTCCCAGGGGAATCGAACCCGCGCCCAAAAGTTCTAAAACAACAGCGCTAACCACTACACCACGCAGGCTGCAACTAACGCGACGCTCCCGGCTGCGACGCTGTCGCCTGCGTGGTGTAGTGGTTAGCGCAGTTGTTTTAGAAATTTTGAACCCGGGTTCGATTCCCCTGAAGGTCAATTTTTTTGTTTTTTTTTCTTTTTTTCGAAAACCATTACCTCTTCATTCTCCATCCTAGTTTTATTGAAAAACTGTGGGCATAAACGCGCTCTGTATGCATCAATAATTTGACATCTGCTCTTTTGAAAATTGAGAAGACCATCCGATTTCGGAACAATTATATCCACTTTCTTAGTCTCGAACATTCCACGAGCCACGTATCTGGCTGTTTTGATGCAACGAGAAACGTCACGACTCAGCCATTTCATCTGGAACGAGAAACTTTTAATTTTTTGGGTCTCACCACGAAAACCTAAATACTACCATAACTTTGTCAATTTTGATGCTAGCCTCTCAGAAACTAGCGCATTCTGATCAGCAGGTCAAGACGGTTCTAATGAGTATAATCATGACTAGGTTTTGGAAAATTTTTGATTTTTGGGTCTCGCCACGAAAACTTAAATTCCACTGTAGCCTGGTTAATTTTTATGTCGGAACTTTGGAAAACAGCGCATTTTGATCATCAGGTCAAAGCGATCCAAATGAGTATAATCACGACTAGGCTTTGAAAAATTTTGTCTTTTGGGTCTCGACACGAAAACCTAAATACTACTGTAACTTGGTTACTTTTGATGCTAAAGCATTGAAAATAGGCGCATTTTGATCAGCTCATCAAGACGGTTCTAATGACTATAATCATGACTAGGCTTTGAAAAATTTTGAATTTTGGGTCTCTCCACGAACATACAAAAACTACCGTCCCACTATACCTGCTTCTTTTCCACGTTTTCATCCAAAAATCCACTTTTCACATAACGTTCCCTGAAGAATTTGCCCAACAAAAACGAATTATTTGCGCCTCGTTCCGTCAATTTTCCTTTTCCATTTGGAAAGAGCTTCTTTAGCTCCCGTGAGAGTTTACGGTCCGGAGCCCGGGCACCGTGGCGGAATAGCTGGAACAGATGAATTAGAGGGGTGTGAAAATGGTAAAAACATACCGTTTGAGCGTAAATCAGTTCATCCGTGTCGTTAGTGGCTTCTGGTAGAGTTGATAGCTCTTTCGGAGCATCGGTTGAGCCTGGCAAGCCCGGTAAAGTCGTGGGATCATCCGGGTCGCTAGATGTTGGCGGCTGAATCGTGGACATCTTTGGAGCATCAGTGGGCTCTGGCAGGGTCGTTGACGTCTCCGGAGGCTCAGTTGTTGTTTCCAAGAAAGTCGTGGAGGTTTCAGCGGCTTCTGGTAGAGTTGTGAGCTCTTCCGGAGCCTCAGTTGAGCTTGGCAAAACCGGCAAAGTCGTGGGGGCCTCCGTGGGTTCTGGCGGAATCGGTGACGTCTCAGAACCCTTTGCTCCGCCCGGAAGACCCGTAGGATCTTCAGCTGCTCCTGATATAATCGTAGAAATTTCTGGAACCTCAGTCCCTTCTGGCACAATCGAAGTCTGAGTTGTAGCTCCCGGTAAATTCGGCTCCTCACCTTGCCTTGACCGCTTCTCCGGGGCTCCCCGAGCTTGTAAGACAAAGAATAACGTCAAGGCGACGGCAGTAACAACAAGAACTGTTGCTGCACTGAAGATTCTGAAAATTTTCGGGGATTGGTGGCCTACAAATCCAATTAGGTGACTTACATTAAATATTTTGTACTATAACCACATTTTTTTCCAGATTCTTCTATTGGTGCTTGGGATATCGAGTCGGTTGCGGGACTTTTCGCACTCGGACTTTTTGCAGTTGAACTCATTTGTTAAAAATAATGAGCAATCAAATAGAAATAATGTTGAGATTTTGATAAAATCTTCAAGAAAAACAAATGTTTTCACGTGGAATTTTGATAAAGTTAACTTCTATCAAAATTTTTTGATCTACCAATTCCCTTTGCTACAGAATTTCACTCACTGAATGAGGTGTGCTTTTTGGATAACAGAATGGGATGAAGTCGAATCCGCCATCGCCCGTAAAGTGTCGGCTGCTTCATCTAGCTCTGAAACTTAAAATCCGTGAACATCGCGCGCCGATACGATAGGTTATTCGGTTATAGAGAAGCTCGTCTTAACTTTCCTCCAGACTTCCACCGGTTTGGTTGAAACACATACTCTACCCGTGAGGCCTATCGTTTTGGGTAACTACAGTAAGACGTTTTGATTTTCGTGAATGTTCAGGTGTAAATTTACACTATTGTTTAAGTTAAGAAATTAATTTGAAACACAGCTTTAAAACCACTTTATTGTAATAATTAATGTAAGTATTAACATTATCCATTACTTTTATATCATATCAAAACGAAAAATAGTACAGATATTATTAATGAAGGGCAAATAAGCGTCCAATGAATAGTTGCCTCTCGTTGAACTCATCCAAAAGGCTTCGTCTGCCTTGCACATCAAAGGAAGAATAGTTGAATTCGAAAACATGATCTGGTTTTGCCGGGTCAATGACGAACCTAGTGTTCGAGAGTTGGTTTTCTTGCCAATTTCCAGCCCATCCTGCTTCCATTTTCAGACGAATCAAATCTTGTTGCATTGGTTTTCGGCACCTTATTTCATATTTTATAAGTTCAGTAGCTTTTTGGAAAATCTGGAAATTGAAGGGTTACGCTAGATCAGCCAAAGTCAAACTGGTTACCTGAACTAGCTTAACTGAGTCTTCGATACTCAACGTCTCAACGCCTAAACGAACAGTTTTAAAGTGCTGAAAGTCATCTATATTGACATTTGGCAGGTTCAATGTTAGATGAAACGCATAGTTAAGTAATACTTCTTTACAGTTTTTCCACTGTGGTGTTTTCACGATTTCGTCATAAACTTCTTGTAAAAGGAGTTTAGGAATTTTGATGGATTCTATACAAGATGGATCACAGATAACCAAAGTTTTTCTGAAAAGCTCCGCGTGTTCACTTTTGAAATTCAGGCTCAATTCTTTGACTTTTAGCAACTTCCGAGATCCTTTTGTGTTTTCTATGAAAGCCTTCACATCATTCTTGTTTTCCTCAGTTTTAATAATAATTTCAAGCTTTTTAACGTAAAACTTCCGAGACGTGGCAAAAATGGAAAAATCAGCAGGGGATATCTGATGATTTGGGTTTAAATTGGGTCTGTGGGCGAATTGGGAACTCTCCTCAACTACGGCGAATGGCAAATGGATCGGAACGGATGTAAGCAGATTTTGGCACTTTTTCGAACATTTTGCAAAGGATAGTCTGCAAAAATTAGCTCATTTACAGTACCATTCAAAAGTATACGTTGACAACTTTTTTGGTTGATTACTTTTTTGTGCAACAACTCTCCCGGTAGATAGAGCTCGTCAAAAACAACTACCTCTGAATCGCAAAAAAAAAACAAAAAATAAATAAAAAAACTAAAAATTAAAAGAAACGTAAAAATGAAATAAACTCACATATCTGGAACAAACATGTACGCCACAATCCTTTCCTTGACAAGAATCGGAAAGAATCTCCACTTTTTTATCGTCATTTTGAGGGATGTAAAAAGAAAATGTTGAATGAAAAGGTACTGGTCTGGGGAAGGACTAATCCTAGGTCAAGATGGCATTGTGACGTGGCAAATGGTGTTTTTTGGGGGGAAAGATTTCCCGCCAAGATAACAATAGAGCGCATTTGCACCTTCCCCCGAAGAACACCATCTGCCACGTCACAATAGGTGGTCCTAATTCTTTTGACCTGTGTTCAGTCAAAGACGTACCTGACTATTACTCAATCCTTGCCTCGGAAATTCTTTCCTACTCTCATGAAGGAGAATATTGTGACGTGCATGTTTATCCGTGATATATATCCGGCGTTTAGTCATGACCAGGGCTGTCAAATCTTCCTAGCGGTGGGATCTTTTCAATGTGATAGGCGGCCTAGTAGAACATAAAAAGTAAAGTATGTTGGTAAGAAAGACGGCTCGGTTTTTGTTATCCGCGGCGGGCCGTTTGGACGCATTAGTCATGACTATACTCATTCAAACCGTCATGACCTGCTGATCAAATTGCGATATTTCTCAATGTTCTAGCATCAGCATTAACAGAATTACGGTAGATTTTAGATTTTCTTGGTGAGACCCAAAAAAACATTTCACACAACCTATTCATGAATGTGTGTGTGTTCAGGTATGAATTAACACTATTGTTAACGTCAACAAAATAGTTGGAAATTTAGTTTTAAAACCATTTTATTATATAAACCCATATTGGTTACAAAATTTTATGAAAAGCATTTATTGCTTTTATATCATAACAAAACGAAAAATAGTATAGATATTATTAATATTATTAATGAAGGACAAATAAGCCTTGAATGAATCTTTGCCTCTCGTTGAAATCATCCAAAAGGCTCCAACCGCCATGCAAGAAAAAGGAGGAACAGTAGATATCGAAAACATGATCCGGCTTAGCCGAATCAATCACAAACCTAGTAGTCGAGCGTGGGATTTCTTGCCAATTTCCAGCCAATCCTGCTTCAATTTTCTGACGGATTAAGTCGTGTTGCATAGGTTCTCGACATTCAATAACAAATCTTGCATGTTCAGGAGCGTTACGGAAATTCTATAAATTGATGGTTTACGGTACATCTAATGTCACATTGGTTACCTGAACGAACTTCACTACATCATCGGTATCCAACGTCTCAACACCTAGTACAACATTTTCAAAGTGCAGAAAACCATCTATATTCACTTTCGGCAGGTTCAGTCCTTGATAAAACATGCAGTTGAGCAGTACTCGTTTACTGTTCCTCCATTGTGGCGTTTTCACAAGCTCTTCATAAATTTCTTGTGAATGGAGTTTGGGAATTTCAATGGATTCTATACGAGATGGATCGCAAATTCCCAAAATTCCAGTGAATAGTTCAGCGTGATCTACTTCGATATTCATTGTCAACTCTTTCACTTTCAGGAATTTCCGGGCTTTCGTCATT